CGGGTGCTGGAGCGAGCCTTTTAAAGCATTCATAGGACACCATGAAACTGCTTGCAATCGGTTGACAACCAAGTCTAGAGCACAAAGAGCGAACCCCTGCCTTCCGCGCGACGTCGCTTTTCCATTGTTGCCTGTAGAGACTTTTACGTTGAAAAACACTGACGACCAAAACTAAATGCAATAACATCGCAAAAAAGAATTATTTCCGTTGGTGTGTTTAGCAAATTTTCGCGCCAATCGGGGACTATGAAGAAGACTTCGGAGTGCGGCTTTAAGCTAGGACCCTTCATCTTTCTCGGATTATAGAATCGTAGGGAATAAAGCTTAGAATTTCATAATAGGGAGCGGTGACCGCATAACTCCAGGAAGAAGTCCCTAGATTTCCACGAAAACTTCGAGGGAGTCCCCCTAAGCATTGCTGCCGGTTAGAGAAACCCGCGAAGCAAAGCAATTAATGATGCACCATCGACACCAACTCGCCGAATACAAAACGAGTGTGTTAGCACGAAGGGAGCTGTGGACACGTCTCTAGCGCGGGAGAACCCGATTCTCAAGAAGCGAACAATACGCGCACCGAGTTCCGCAGACAACGTCACCGCCCTCCACGTGTGACGTCACACGTGTGACGTCATACCTCACGCCTCGTGTGACGTTGCAGACATGGGTTGGGGCATAAGTGGCAAAATGTCCGAGAAACTCGTGGTGCCAAATACGCCTATCGAGGCTTGTCCGCTGTCGATTCCGTTCCGTGGGACTGGGCACCGGCCTTTCGCCACTTCCTCAACGATACTTCGAACGTTAGTGCGATTAATACGTGCAACGAGGACGTCCTTGCCTGAGGTCTGCCTACGCGGCGCTGACTCGGTCAATTTATTTAGAAGTCAAACGCCCAACTAGGGCCCTTTGCGGCGTGAGCTCTGATAACTTTGCGCTCCTGTTTACGCGTCGTTGACTTATTGCTGCGCCCTAAAAAATGCGGCCGACGAAAAGAAAGAAGGTAGCCACTAAACGAAATATATTAAAAAAACAACAAAAACCTAGTAATTGCGTGAGCTGAAGTTGATGCACGCACGAACTACATCGCTGAATAACCTTTTTTTTTTTATTTCCTCGCGATTAAACCTGGGACGCGGCCACTTTATATACTTGGTCATCCTACCATGCGGATTGTCTTCTGGACGCTAGATTTCACACGATATAACTAATTTCCCGCGTGGCACTCTGAAACAGCGATACGATTTTAGAATAAAATCCCTTGGTGACAGTGTGGACGGAATATTTTACCAAGATTAGCTATATGCCTCGGTATAACAGTCCCATATTAGACCCGAGAACTCGGGAATGGCTAAAGAGAAGGTTTCGAGGTAATTTCTAGTGTGTTTAGTGGCGAAGTAACACGCATTGACAGGTCGTCGCTCTTAGGAAATTAGAGTAGATTTACTACCGTCGATCGGAAGCTGACTAAATATCAACCACACTAATTGCTGGCATATCACACAGATGCCATCTAAAGTTAATTACGACAGCCCTTCCGATCTTTCCTCACTCCGACTGGCCCAAAGCGCTTTGGCACAATCGCGTTATAAAATCGTTTCGTCAATTTTTCGTTTTCAATCAAAGCCCACCGCGCTGATGCGTCTCGTGCTTTTTCTATGGAGAGACACGTATCCGCGTAGCCAAATTTACTCGATCTATTACTCTCGTTTTATTAGTTCGCCTACTATCACGACTGATTGGGTTGAGTCACTGTCGAGGATATTAAATAAACACGCGGCCTCGAGAGAGGACTACGGGGAGATATCTTATATCGGAGACGAACAAAGGTATCGCATAACCCAGTCGATGGGATTGATCGCGAACGACGCGGTCACTCTGTTCATGCGTTGCCATGGACGGAATAAAAACTCAGACGACTCCGAGGCGAACACGTTTTCTGTCAACATCACTGTAACTCGCAATGCATAGTCACCGGCAGATTAATACATCCGGGGCGTTGCTTATAACGTTATAGGCGTGATTCTTTCTCGCATATAACGTTCGCACTTCTTTCCTGAACGATTCCTTCTTCGGCGTTATTATCGGCCAAGGCGGCAATCTTGCTGCCGGTGGAGGAGCGATAATAACTTAAGATACATGCTAGGTACAGTGCTGATCACACTTATCTATAACGCGCGAGCGTGCGGCTTTTTCCGGGGAGCGCTAGACAGGTGGCATTCGCGGAAACTAAGCTAGTCACGTGGCGCAACATGGAACGGCCCGCTCGAGGGGTGTCCTGCCCACATCTATCAGCTTGATAAGCGATAAAAGCGAAGTGCTTTATGATATATTTTTGTTTTTTTGATGACGACATCGTTGATAAGCCTTGGTGCTTTAGTTTGTTTATTGTACGAGGAATGATGTTTGTAAAAAGCGTGCGAGCAGCCTTCCGCATTTGCCGTCAGCTGATAGAGTGGGCAGGACACCCCTCGAGCGGGCCGTTCCATGTTGCGCCACGTGACTAGCTTAGTTTCCGCGAATGCCACCAGTCTAGCGCTCCCCGGAGAAAGCCGCACGCTCGCGCGTTATAGACAAGCGTGATTAGCACTGTACTTGCAGCAACCGGCGTTTCTTAAGTTGTCGGCGACTCTACACATTAAAGACGCGCCAATAACGCCGCCGTTTAATTCGGACCAAAGCCCTTTAAAAAAAAAACAACGGATATAAACTTGATTCTCTCCATGTTTCTTTCCCGCTTGAGGTCTAACTATTGGATCGCTCCGTGCTAAAGCCCCGCTCTATAAGAAAGGTCTCCCGAGTTTACATTTCTGTAGAACAAGGAGGTAACCAACACAAAAAGCTCAGAATACAATTAAACACACAAAAAAAGAAGCGATGTGAGCAGGGAAAATGAGCATGACGCTTCACTTGCACAATCTCTGCGCAGATGGCCTTTTTTTTTGTCTAGTCGTATTATACGCTTTGTCAATGGCTGGAATTCTATTTTTGGTCGTGATTGGCGTGCTCCGTGCACTGAAAAAACAAAAAACAAAAAAACTCGCGCTCTTTTTTTTTTTTATGCGTATAGTTTTGTAATGGATTGCAGTCGTATACAGCAAGACCGCCACAGCGCGCGTGCCGTTTCTTTTTCACCACTTTCATACTTCCTCGCGTGTTATCTTCGCACTCCACTTTAGACTTTAATGCCATCTTCGCTTCTACTTTTGTATGTCTCGCGTGTGGTTGATTTTGGTCGGGCAGACGTCTACCTTGCCGCCCATAAAACGTTAAAAAGTACCCCCCCCCCCCCCCAATAACATTTCCCGGTAACAAACCTCATTGTACGCAAACATATAGTGCTTTAAGCAATTTCACGAAGCTTGACAACAAAACTCAAACGATGCGTTAGAGACAGGCTAAAATCACCGCAAACCAAACCCGCGTTGAACGCGAGAAAAATGAAGGTCACCATACTAGAACAACCAGTACGTGTTCACTTAGAATATGTTTTCTTTTTTACACTTATTTGTGGCTGAAGTCCAAGGAAACAAGAGACCAAAAGCTGTTAATTCCACAATTTCTCTATATTACGCGTATACGCGTCACCTATATAAAAATAAGCATCAACGGACGTTTACTTGCACCATATATAATATAATAGGCCAATAACTTCACTTCTACGTGCAAGATCTCCAGTGTTACAAAACTTCGATCGACCACGCGGTCAAATTACAGGCATAGCGCTGGCATTCCACGCTGCTATACATACCATAGTACACCGATACAATGCTGGTCGAACGGAAATTGGCAGCTTACGTCGCCTTCGCCTGGTCAAATTATTGTGTAACGGTTTGCATAATGTACAACTCCGTCGTGTCGGAACCATGGGCCCCGCCGCTATTTATACACGACAGTGTGTCAAACTGCAGAAGGGATAGGTAGAGCATAGTTGTTATGAAACAAGTTTCGCCGTAACTCGACGAGGGCGCAAGCGCGCATTCGCCGATCAGGTCACGTGTAAAGTATAAACCGCATGTAAGCGATTTGGCGAGCGACGAGACAAGCGACGGCGAGCCGCTTCGCTGTCGCGAGACGAGGCAAACCGCATAAAGGCGACGGGAGCAAGCAACCGAGGCGATAAGCGACGTTTTCTATAGCAATCCAAAAAAAAAAAAAACTAAGCGACGCGACGAGCGACAGCGAGAAATCTCCGTCGCTCGTCGCTGACTCTCGTCGCTGTCACCCGTCTCGTTGGTCGTTAAATCGCTTACATGCAGTTCGGCCTTAGACGTTTCAAGACGACGTGAGAAATAGAGTTGCCAGGGAACGACACATTGAATGCGCTCGTTAAGCTATAAAGTCAACCAATAAGGAGTTTTGCTAGGGTCTGATAGTTACTAAGACACACGCAAGAAAATGCGTTGACAGGAGTAACCATTTTGCAAGACGAGAAATTACGCGGTGTTTGACTTCTCCAGTTCTCCTTCCTGACGAAGTTGATGGCGTATGTACACCACCCCACGGCTCTTCCGTCACACCGTTGCAATGGCGTTGCTGTCGGCACGCCGCATGCCGAGTGCCCACACCTGGTGTGGGCAAACGCTGACGTCTTTGTACAAACGTTAACCTATTAACTCAGAAAAAAGAAAAATAATTGTTGGGTTACACGCGAGATCGTTCATTTAAAGCGTACATCAACCCCTAACCGTCTATGTGAACACGGAAACTCTACAGGAGTTAGTTCTTTAGGACAAGACGTCAAACACCAAACAAAATACGCAAAAACGAATTCATAACAAAATACGCCGAGTGAGCATTTGCTACTCGAGCGGAAGTATAAAGGAAGGTTACGTGCAAAATAACCAACGTCTCGTAGACACTGTCTGTAAGGATCGTATCATGGCCGAAACACGTAGAGAAAACCGAAAACAGCGTTCGACGAAGGTTCAACACCGACCAAACGATGGCGTTGAGACTCGAGAGAGAGAGAGGTCGAAACCAAATCTCCCGGGGCGAGGCCTCACCTTTTGGCCGCAGCTCGTGAAACGGCGCTGCGGTCGCAGAGACTAGAACCGATCGCTCGGGAGGAGTAAGAGAGCGCCGGGGCCAGCGTGGCTTACCCTGCAAAAGAACGGAACGAAAACAAGGTCAGGATACAGAAAGCGTGACGAAGTAGAACTCCGACTCAATGCTTCATGTTTGCGAGCTATAGACGCTTTACACACGCGCCTAATTACAGCCGCCATTGCTGACCTTCTCTTGTCTTACCGAGATGCGGGGGAACTGAAACGGTAGTTGACGATCCTCCACAAAGGCCGATGCTTTAGAAAATGACACAGTTGAATCTAATATGGCAATAACCTGGCCTGCCATGGTAATGATGAAGTGAAATAAACGAAATACGAGGAAACAAAAACTGAAGGTCAGTTATGGCGGCGTCCATGCACAGCTGCTGCAAAGCGTCTATACATGCGCAAAAAGTCGTTTTGCGCAGAGTGAATCGCTCGCGCACGCGCAGCTCGACTGCCAGGAGCGTTTCTTGCCACGAACGACGAGGCGCCCTTGGAACGTACCCTTACAACCCAAGGTAATTCCGTTGAAAAATATTCTTCAAAGGATGCAAACGTGCATTTCAGATCAACAGTAGAATATAAAGAGATGTATAATGAAGACTAAGTAAAAGACACACTCTTTCAAATGTACCTTTGAAACATATAATCACTATATGACATGATATACATACTGGTTTAGTCGACACTGGAACTTCACAGCACAAAACGAAATGTCGTGTAAGGTCGTGACACCCCCCCCCCCCCCCCCCCCCCCATGACGCGCCACCCTGTAAAAGTCTAGACTACATGAACACAAAACAAAAACAACAAATAACAAAATTGAAAAAAAAAAAAAAACGACCTCAAACTTTTTTTTTTTTTTTTGAGAGAGAGAGCGCGCGCGTGTCCATCGAGCAAATTAAACGGCGGAAATGAGTTAGTTATTGATGGGTGCACGCTCGGGGCCGGGCCCAAGTGGGCGCGGTTATTGATTACTCGTCCGCCCTTCCTTTCTTTTACTTACTGCGAGCTTTAGAGACGACGCGTAGAGAATGAACTCGCAGAGACAGACAATCTCGGAGGCGTTGCCAAAAATGGGGTCACTCCTCTTAAAGGGGAAGCCTAACAAGTCTGCCACAAGTTGGATTGAAGAGAGCTTAACGCACGAGGCCCGTCCCCCTCCAAAGCCGCCGGTGAGGAGCGCCCGATTTCCCCGTGCCCGAAATTGACTCGTCCACTTTCGCGACAGTTCCCTTCTCTCGTTTGCGCTCGGCAACAAATAAACGAACGAACAAGCAAACACACACACAGGCACACTTGGAGAAAACGCGTTAATCTCGGCCGTAATAACGAACGCTCGTAATAACAGGGAGTGCCACCGCCGTGGACGCAACCACGGTGCCAATCAATTCCGGAAGCAGAAGAATGCCGCTTAGGAACGAGCAATGTCATTTGTTGCTTATTTTAAGGGGAACCTCTCAATTGCCCGACCACGTGACGAAGACTTTTCTCGCGACACTAATTGCGAGCGACCAACGAATGAAGTAACCGTGGCATCTAAATTTTGTCGTGTAATCCTGACCAAAAAACAAAAGAGAAGGAAATCGATCCATCACCTTAGTTGAAGAGTATCTTGACAAGTATCTGCGAGGCCCTCATTACAGGATTCCGCGTCTTAGTAATATACAGATTGTAAGTGTGGGTTTTTTTTTTGTTTTTTTTTACGAAACATGACCTTTTATGAGAAATCGGATGCAGATATATAGTTTTCCTTTTCAACAGACGTGGCAATACAACGATGATACAGACGTAGCGCAGGCTGGATGCAGACAGCTCGTCGTAAACCTGAAGTACTCAAGGACGAGGAGGACCATCCGTCATCGCTACAATGTACAAAAGTGACACTACCGTCACTGGTGGGACTCTCGAGCTAGCAAGATTAGTTCGGACACAAGCTCGGAATTAAAAGTTGTACACGTATACAGCGAAGGTGGATATGACTCGTTGGTCGGGTTTTTTCGTGTCCGTCGACAGAAAACCATTGCGCGCGCCTTGCCATCGTTCGCGCGCTTTATCACGTCATCTGGTTTTTACACTTTTTTTCAATTAGAAGACCAGAAAACAAGTGTCGAAACCACATAGCAGAAAATGTGCGCGCAAACGATACGAAGCATGTAGCGCTCCCCGAATGCGTTTCTCGGTAAAGAATGCGGTTGCAAAAGCTGCCGCGGCAACGGCAGCGTACGAAGTCTTTCATATAGACGCTTTGCAGCAGCTGTGCATGGGCGCCGCCATAACCCACCTTCCATTTTTTTTCCTCCTATTCAGTTTAATTCACTTGACCATCGCAGGCCAGGTTATTGCTGTCTTAGATATTATTGTGTCCTTCTCCCCAGCATTGGTCTTTGTAGAGGCTCGTCAATGCCCGTTTCAGTGGCCGGGCATCTAGGTAAGATAAGAGGAGGTCACCAATGGCGGCTGTAATCTGGCGCGAGTGCAAAACGTCTATATAAAAAACAGTTTTGGTGCAGTGCATTTACTTGTCTTTCGTCGCACCGTCTTTGCAAGCCTGTTGAGCTTGCTTATGTGACCAGTGCTATAGAAAGCACAAGTGCTACACGGAAAACCAAAGTTGGGGCTTTGGCTGTACAAAACTACATCTTGGAGGAGGCAAGTTGGCTTACAAGAATATCCGAAAACATTTTAACAGATCTCGCACTCCTTCGCTCTTTTGGCGTTCACCTGGAGAATTGGTCGTTAAACGTTTTATCTACATTTGAAGCAGCGGTGCTAAGGTGGCCTTTGTTCATTCTTTTTACAGACTGGAAGTTCTCTGAGACGTCAAAGACTGGAGCATCTCTTAATGGCGTTTGCCATAAAAAGGGTCTGTAGTGCAGTGGGCAATCGCTGCAGGTGACACCACAGCTTCGCTGGCAAACCACCTTCACAGCGTGGATTGGATCCCCAATATTTTTCTTTGTCCAAGCTCGGTGAAATCGTAAAGAAGTTACAGCAAAAATAACTCGTTGGTTCGTGTAAAGCGAAACACCCAACTAATGCAAAAATACAATAACCATTTTTTTTCTTCTACCGTGGGTATAAAAAGCTGCCAATAGACCGAGCTCACCAAGTGTTCGGCGCATGCGTCACGCCGCCATAACTTTAGTTCGCAGGAGGCAGGCAGCAGTGCATGAGACTGCTCGTGCCGCCTCATGCTCTGCATGCGCAGAGCTCCAGCCAGGTTGCCGCACGTGGAGAAAGACTAAAGTTGCATCGATGCATTGAGGCAGCGGCGACGTAACCAAACTGGCCGGTGAGATCGGTCTCTTGAAACTACTTGTGTAACGAAACGCGATCACGTGCGAAGTCAATCCCAGAGGTAAACTTCAAATGTTGGACCCTAACCTATCTGAGTGATTTGTTTATGCCGGACTTAGATACGCGTGTAGAACCATTTTTAAGAGAACGGAGAAGCGTTTAAGAAAACTCGGCTGCGAGTCAACACACGAGTACGCGGGACGTTTCTTCCGTAAGCGCTTGCGCGAAAAATAAGAAAAATTCGCGAAGCTACGTTCTTAAACTCCATTTTCTTTTAAGCAATGCACGCAACGGGCGAGCTGGGCGTATACATATTACCAACAGACATTAGGCCCTGCACAACCGTCTCGCACAGATAAGGCTACAGCTCAGTGTAAACCCATTTACCGCGCCGCCTCTCTCTTCATCCGTACACCTCGGCAGCGCATAAAACAAAACAATACAAAGAAAAAAGCGCTTTTAAACTTGTACGCACGCTCTCTGGCGGGTGAAAACCTAAAGGCTTCCCCGAAAACCGATAAGCCTGCTTCGTTATTCCTACTCGGGCGCCTTCGCCACTCGCTCCTCCTCCGTGTATCGCGTCGACTCGTAAAGAAGCCCGCCGAGGTCTGCCTGGGATAGGGCAGGCTTCTTATCAAACGCCGACCTCAATAGCGGAAGGCGGTTTGCGAATACGGACGGCGTCACTCTGCGAGGCACGGTGGAACAAAAGAGCCTAGCGATTGTGTGCGTAAGCTGTAAGGCGTGAGTAAGGCGTCAGCTAAAGCTATGTCCCGGAATTAAAAGGTTTAATTTTTTTTCTCTCGATATTGTCTGTAGTTCTATAATTATCACGCCTCAAAGCTTGGTTTCGGGCGTCTACGGCAAAACGGAAACTATCTGTTAGAGAGATGGCAACACTGATCATCAGCCGTACGGCCGCGAAGTGACGTCACCGTGGTGCTGCTTTACGCGGTACAACCAATAAACTGGAGCTTTAGCCAACGTTACTAGATCACCTCAGTTGTGGAACTCCCCGCGGAAGGGGGTACCCCCCTTCAGTGACTTCAGTCCGCCTCCCGTCGTTCGAAGCGCCACCTAGATTTTCGTTTCATAACTGTGTTCTATGGATGGATGGATGGATGAATACGGCTGAGCCCTTTGGATCGGGCGGTAGCTTACGCCACCTAGCCATTTTGTTTTACCATTTAAGCTTAGAATATTTAAATGTGAAATCTATATTCACTTCGCAGTGCAAAGAAAGTGAGGCTATGAAACCCCCTTGCCATCAGTGAATAAGAAAATACCTAGTTTTCTCTCGATTTCTGCCACCATTCACTTAATCTTTGCTTGGTAATCTCTACAGTCTTGAAATCCACTCTCCCTTCGCTGTCTCTAAAACGCAATGACTTTATTAAATCTATGTTGTCTTCGATAGGCATAGGGTGAAGCCCTTTACAGTAGAGTATCAAGTGCTCAGCCGTCTCGTCCTCCTCTCCACAAGCAGTGCACACTGTATCAATTTCCTGGTACTTCACTCTGTATGTTCTGGTTCGCAGAACACCCGTTCTTGCCCCAAACAGCAATGAGCTTCCCCTAGAATTCTCATAAATGCTTTCTTTGGCAATAACTCTTTTGTTTAATCTATAGCTTTCCAGAGCCGTCTTTGTCTGCATTCCCTCTAGCCACCGATCTCTTTCTGTGGCCTTAACTTGCTTCTTAACTGAGACTTGCTCTTCCGTATCTTCGCTATAGCCGAAAAACTTTCCTCTT